TTGGAGATGTTGTGAGTATGTTTGTTATGTGCATTTGTTTGAACTACAATCAGGCAACCTCAATACATTTGTTGAACCACGGAACCGTGGTCAGAAAATTTATTTAGTGTGTGTCTTTGCTAGCGCTTTTCTTCAAATAGTACGATGGATATACCTGCAACTTTCACCAAATATGTCCAAAATGCCAGCCTATAACATATATCCCATTTGCACTTGTTTTGATAATTGCTATAAATTTAATATTTCCTTTTATCAAGATTATTCTGACTCAACCTGTACAATAATTAGCTAGAATACTTATTTTCAACTACCACGAAATATCATAAAAATGATAATAAATATTTCACGATTCAAATTAAAAGCACTACGTGTATATACTAATTTGATGGAGTTTTCCATTCCACGTTTTATTAAAAGGTTTTCGTGGGAGAGCTTACAAAAATTTTAAAGTCCTTTTACTTAATAGTGCTTGCTCACTTCACTGACTTTATTGATCGGATACTAGGATATATTAAGGATACTAAGTTCGTCTCACCCCTAGAAGAAATACATTCTTATTTATATTAAAGGCGTCACCCTTCGCAAAGTTCCCACACTGTGAATAACGGTACATCCCATCGCAGACACCTGACTGTCAGGTCACCAAACTTTAGTAACTTAGTTGCAATAGAGTTTTAATAATTGTAATAACGTTATAAAGAAACTGCAATGTGATAAACCTTTTATTCGCCAATATCATGCCCTAAAAATAGGCACTGCAAATGTACAAGGCACTGCCGCTAAAACAAAGATACCATAAGCTGCAATACTCATTTTCAACCGCCACGAATTAAGTTTACAAGAATTACATTCATCGTATATATTGATAATTAACTTTGAATAGGAATTGAAATCAAAACTAGGTGTTCTGACAGTTTAAAATACTTAAAAGATCAATAAATATGCGGCTGTTGGCTGATTTGAGGAAAATTTTGGTAAAGGTATATACGTTTGTAAATAACCAAACAATGTTCCACTGTCCTCCCAAGTTTTAAAATGCACGTAATGTAACACACTGATTTACTATTCCTCATACATATTCATGATCGAGAGCCGAACTCTCACTGGTCAATTCACCATCACGAGCCAGATGTTATTCCCTGTTTATCTAACGCGCGCACGAGGATTCTTGTACAGGGTAAATAAGCATGCGTAGTCAACTGTCCCCACGGGTTACCCCATGAAACATTCGCTGCGAAATTCGCCCGAGTTGAAATGTGTTTGTTAACTTTTGCGAATTCGCAGCGCGAATACTTGCCATGACGTCACAGATTCGCGTTCGCTTTCGCTTTCGCATGAAGTATCAACCGGGCTTTAATGTTAATTTTCCGAGCTCAATGATACCGTGCTGGAGAAAATGTATGGACGATAAAGATGCCTCCTGTACAAAAGAAAGTTATACACACAAGTCACAATCAAAATGTATTTAAAACTGTATTGCAAACGAACCAAACCAGTAAAGTTGAGGAACAATATTATTTTGGTAAGCAGTGCAAATTTATCCGAAAAATTTGTTTGAGGTGCACATTTTTATATAAAAAAAAATCGGCAACTGAATATGTATGAGGTATAGTAAAACAAAACATAACATGGTTTATTTCGAGGTGTCAAGGTGTCCGGATGTGGCTCCTTCAATATCGAGAATTTTAGGTAGAGAATAAAATATACCAGCTGAAAAACAGGACAAACTTTCAACATAAGGACACATTTCAAAACACTGGTTTTATCTGTCTCAACTCTGAAGAGGCCGGGCATCGGTTATATTGGAACAATTTCTTAACATTTCGCTTTTTCGGCAATTCAGAACAGTTAGCAAGGTAAGCCAGAACCGTTTTAAATAGGCCAACCAATGAGACACGATTTGAATTTAAAACGAGAAAGAAATAAATCAATGACTCTAGTTTGACGTTTTATTTGCTCAAATAGAAAATTGTTATTTTAAATTCTGAGTTAATGTATCATTATAGTCAATGCCATTTCTTATAAAATATTGAAATCGCATGATTTTAACTTTAAATAATAAGAATTCACATTGAATTTTCTTAATTTCGCAAGTTTCAATAATTATTTTGTTCATACTGTGAATGAATTGTATCTGTTTTTACCCGTCTGCTTGTAAATTCGCATGAAATCACTCAAGAGCTGGTATTGGTTGTAACCAATGTGTTAAAAAAAAAAACAGATTTAGTTTCAATAAAAAATATCAAAACCAATACCTGGTAGTCAGTATACAAATATAACATGTTTGAGGGTGGACATCCGATATTCGCTCCCCGAGGTATTGGAAGTTGACAAACTAGTTCCCGAGGCGAAGCCGAGGGAACTAGTTTGTCAACTTCAAATACCGATGAATACCAATGAAATTAAATTGAACTGCTCTGTTGGCGACAGTTACTACTAGCATATAGTGACCAAATTAGTTTTTAGTGAAATTAATTTTCAGGTGTCGAACATTAGTTACCCTAGAGCTTCGTCAAATTTCAACGGAAGTACATTTATTCTGCACTGATGAATCTGAATGGTGTCGGGGTTGAATATCGAGTTCTCTGCGCTTGTCATTATGGCAATCAAGTTTGTTTCAATCTTTTGCTTTGCTGTGGCTAGGGTCGTCATTTGGAGCCACTGATTCACCCTGTGTAAAGCTTGTCTTATTTTAGTTTCAGAGATAACTCCTTAGCAACCTCTTCCATTCATCATGTGTTCTGTTAGAATTTATCGTCATTGTTGCTGTCACTTCATCTATCAACGCTGTATTTGGCCCAGGCCCAGGGTTCTGCCCATCTCTGGTCTCTGCCAATGCCACTCTCGGCTCTACACTGTCCAATGCTCTTGCCCCCCCCCCCCCCCCCCACTGGCAATTTTTGGGCGGGGGAAGCGTGTTATCGCTTCACTGAAACACCGGCTACTTGGGATGACAGCCATTCGGATTGCCAAGCCATGCGAGGCAAGATGGCCGCTCTCTTGCTCGCTGGAGGGAATGACCCTCATAGCGGAATTGGCGCGAAATGTGGTCATGCGGTTCTACGCCTGGATTGCAATGACAGAACAGTCAATGGAGCTTGGGAGTGTGACGGTCAGGAAGGAATCCAGCCCATCTTGCAGATTTTTTCAAGTGCCCCTTTTGCGGCCATAAATGTGCCCTTGAGCATAAAAATGCCCCTCGAGATAAAAAAAAATGCCCTTAAAGTATCTTACTACTATTATAAGATGGAATTTTGCGTCGGGTGATATCAATCAAATTAGGTTTTTGCCCTTCACCGACGTTTAAACACTGTATACTCAGTGTGTTACCTCCCGAGTGAAAGTTGAAAAATCACTCGGTTGGGACTCGAGGATACAGTGTTTAAACGTCGGTGAAGGGCAAAAACCTAATTTGATTGATATCTTACTACTATTTCTTAGAAGTAACCATTTTCCAATAATGGTATAATAGTTTTGATATAAACGAGGAATATGAATACCAAGCCCCCAAAACCCATACAATACGCCCTGAAAAGGGGCACATAATGCATAATTAGCATATAATCATCGGTTTTAAAGAGCGCCCCCCTATGTTGGAAGATGGCGCTCGAATTCAAACCACAGTTCTTGCGATCCATAGTTTATTCCACTATCCACTAGGCCACGACGAAAGCAGTTGCATGACTGTGTGATAACAATGGTGTGACGTAATTGTTTTTTTTCTTATGAATAAACATCGAAGCAGATGAATAATCATGATCTATTCACGATGTGTGCTGCAAATAAAAACACCACTTCCCGAAGTCAGCATTTAAACAAACAACCAGCTTCTCCAATTCCAGAGGTCCAATAAAAAAAAAACAGACGAAGAATACGTTTAAACGTATAAATGAACCGGTAAATTGGAAAAATGCAGCATGTACGTTCTATGAGCATGACTTCGGTTCGTATAGCATGCAATTATCTGTAAGTCCTCCCCAAAAAATCTGACTCTGACTAACTAACTGAAACGCTACTGTAATCGCAAGAAGATGTCAGGTAACGCTCCTATTGTGGCCAACGATTTTTAAATATTGTTCATGGGCGTCGCCAGGATTTTTTTCTAGAGGGGGGCAAAAACATATTTTTTCCCAAAAAAATTCTTGCATTTCTCAACAAATTCTTGATTTATTAGTTTTAGAGGGGGCAGAGACATCCCCCCCCCCCCAACTCATTAAATTTATACCACTATGACTTCGCGTCTCTTCTTCTTTTCTTTTTTTCCCCTCTTTTCCCCCTTTCTTTTTTGTGTGTGGCTTTTTCAGGGGGGGGGGGGGTCAAGCGCCCCTTTGCCCCCCTGCGACGCCCATGATCTTATCTTTCGCCTCTGAGGGGAGAAAGCGAAAGGACCCTACAAGGAAACTTATTTGAAGAAATACATACGGGAACAAATGTATGCACTAAACCTGAGGCATTTAATTGCGGTTAGTTTTGAAACATATTTGGATGGCTTGGCACTCAGAGGGATTCAGGCCGAGTTTGTCGGTGTCTATTCAGTAAATTCATCAAGAACTACTTGCAGTCCACTAGGTTGGAGAAAGGGGCTACAAGTCATCCGCATATTTCCAGCACTTGATCGTTTCACCCAAATCATGAGCAGCTTCATTAATAACATCCTGAAAACCAATGGGGCCGAGTTTCATTCCTTGAGGGAGAGCTCCATTGAGAACATTGTACTCTGAGAGTGCTTGGTTGTGACGTAGACATTGGGCGCGGTTGCTGACAAAGTCACACACTGTCAACAGGTTAAACCCTTGCGCAAATTCTTCTTTCTTTCCAGTAGTAGGACAATTTTTTTACCCAAATCAACCCACAATTATGAGGTAATTTTAAACCAATGTTGGGTAAAAATGACATCGTCCAACAATGTTTTGCCCAACATTTTTTTCACAGTTCACAAACCTAGGGACGACACATCTATGGACTCCCAAGCGGATGCATTTCTCAAAGAGGATGATTTGGTCAACGTATCAAACACTTTGGAGAAATCCGTCAGAACCACCATGCCTGTGTAGTCGACTCTGTCAGCAATTAATTACCACATACAACTTACTACAGAATTATACCCAATGATCTACTTAATGGAGGTACAGTAATTCAAGTTCATGGGTCATACGTCAGTAAGTTGTACATCGAATGCACAACTTCAACCGGTGATTCATTAACTTGAGTATGGTGAACTTTGGTCAAAACGCCCATTACAGGAACGTCGACGCACACGTATACCACCCGATTCAACTAGCCACCGTTGTTAATAAGTGAGGCTTGAGGACGTTATACGCCATGTTATAAACATGACCGTTATATATTACCGTATCATGTAATACAAAGGGACACGTTAATAAACGAGGCATACATCGCATGCAGCTCAGGCGCGGGGGCGGGCCGCACGCCGCGGTACGTACGTACGCGCACCGTGCAAATATAATGTGCATGGGTCTGTCGATCGGTGGCGCTTTCCATCATGGCCGCTGTGTGCCTCTTTCGTACTGTGCTGATGATCGGTTGTACATGCGAAAAAGCATGCAAAAAATTTCTAACAAAGACTAAAGTTATGAGAATGGACTTGGAGAGAATGGCATGAATTCATTCACTACTTTTTGGAAATGTGTAGCACCAGCAGTTGATGGTAGACGAGACGGGGAGTGTGGATTCGTACACTATAGTGTAACGTTTACGAAAACAGATCAACTCGTAACTTCTAGTCGTACATGAACACCGTACGCGGACCAACTCGTACGCGACCAACTCGTACACAGGACAACTCGTATGGGAAAGAATTTCATACTGGGCCACCACTGATATTCCTTAATATGACCTGAAATTTGTACCAAAACAGTTGTAAATCTGATGAAGAAACACTGCCCTAGGTCTAATTGAACCTTTTGTGTACTGGCCCAGTCCTAGCCGTCGGACGTGGCTTTTAAACTACAAGTACAACGCCACGTTCACGGGTCTAGCCCAGTCCCAGAAATCATGCAGGAGGTCTGAGTCCGAGAGGTGGCCCAGTATCATTCTTACCAAATGGCATGAATTTAATTTTGGCCAGTGTACGAGTTGGCTGGCGTACAACTAAGGGGCCTAGTAGTGAGTAGTACAAGTTTAGTTGGTTCACGTATAGCCCCATAAATGTGGCCTATTTACTGGACTGCCTCCGTAAACATAGGCCACACATCCACATGTACAAAATCGTGTCGATTTTGCCAAATTTTGATTTTCACATTTAGGCTTACTTTGTAGGTTTTTTTTGCTTTAGAAGCATTCTCACCCTCTATATATAGGCTAATCAGAAAGTGCTGCCTTTTTCAGATGTCTAATTTTTGTGAAATTTCATGTTGAAATTTTGATACGCAAACGTGTGCAAATGTATCTGGAAATTTCACGAAAAATGGACATCTATTAAAGGCAGCACTTTCTGATTAGGCTATATAGAGGGTGAGAATGCTTCTAAAGCAAAAAAAACCTACAAAGTAAGTCTAAATGTGAAAATCAAAATTTGGCAAAGTCGACACGTTTTTGTACATGTGGATGTGTGGCCTATGTTTACGGAGGCAGTCCAGTAAATACTAGGCCACATTTATGGGGCTAGTTCACGTACAGACGTAAGAGTTGTCTCGCTTGTCTTGCGTACGACGAGTTGGTTCAAGTACGACTACAAGTTGTCCTGTTGCCTTTATAATTTCAATGCAGTAGGCCTACTGCATCATGTTTGTTAGGGCAATTGTGTAGTGTAGGGTGCCTGTTTAGGTTTGATCAAATTAGAGGCAAGGTTGTTTTGTTCTACTAAAAAATTACCTTTTTAAAGCATACATCATGTATCGTCAGACCCCCTAAAATGATGAGGATACAATGTATGTTTTGACGCACTCGCATTCAATTTGCGTTTGACAACACGCGTGCGTTGCAAGCATTTCTGCGTCAATTATGGTGACTCTCGAGAGCTACTTCTCTCAAAATAAGGGGTAGAAATTACAACGGTTGGTGTCGCATGATTCATCGCGCCTAACGCGTTATGGTACATTGCGCGGTGATTGCCATCTTTATTTTCGTGTTGCATTTTGTCGTCGTCATTGCCATTTTACTATCCAATTTCCCTCAACAATTCAAAACCCTGCCCTTTACGCCTAATCTGACATTCCTGTACGTTCTTAATGTCTCAAACTATATGTATGTCCAATACAATGTGGAATTTGTTCAGTGTTAGGCCAACCATAAAAAAAGTTCTGCTTCTGGTTTCCCTACCTACATGTTCATGTACCCTATTCTGCCAGCCCCTACCCTATTTTTGTATGGGGAAAGTGAGAAAAAAAACACCCAAAATCATATTTTTCTTGATTACTCGCACATACATGCAGATGCCTCCATATATTCGTACACAAAAAAAATTGCACCAAAAAGGTCCCTACCTACATGTACATCTACCCTGTTTTCAAGTGCCATGTAATCAGAAGCAGAACTTGGTTTTTTTTGGCCTTATATAAACCAGTACCGTAGTAGATACATGATCACCAATGTAATTACCAGCTTGTTCCCATACATGTACGAGCTTGTTCCGGCTACCGCACATCGCGCGCGCCGCGACACACTAGTATACTGTTAGCCTCAACGACCCTTGCGTGTGCTTTGTGTGCGTGTATGTACCTCCCATACACACTTCCGCAAACAGCCGTACAGTAAATTGAGGCAGAGGAAAGCCTTGACGCAACCGTGGCAAATTCTATGTGTTTCTTTTTTTTTTCGGCCGAATTCGGCCGAATATTTCTGATGCGCATATATTACACAATATCCAATCAAAGCCCGTAAACTTGGACCCGCGACATACATATTCATGCCTTTTTTTCATGTAGCCTGCAAATTACTGTATACGCCACGAATGTTCACTCAAAAATAAATGTCCAGGTATTTCAATTTTCAATCCCATTTTAAACCATTTCTCCAGTTTCATTCCAAACAAATGAAATATGCCGCTACATGAATGAACACTTGTTCAAAATGATGATATATTTCCAATGTATTGCGAATGGGACAGTCATACATGTAGCTGCCGACATTTATTGTCGGTGTAACAGCGTACATTATCACGCTGCTACCCCGTGACATTCTGCCGACAGCGAATGTAGGGAACAGGTCAATTCGGACCCAGGTCAAATTGTATTCATTTCATCGAATCATGCAGGAAAACTCATATCTATAAGTCATGTCACACCCGTATGAATTAACTGCAAGAAACAAGCTATTTAATATTGACTTTGGGATGGATACGAAACTGTCATACAGGGGCATGGTAAAAAAAATCTCTCTCTGAATTCGTACCATGTGCAACATATATCTTATACGTACGACATATGTATTTCACACGTACTTACGAATTGTATGTCGTACCATGAGAGAAGACTGTTTACCATAGCGCGTACTAATTATCATATTGGGCCTACACAGTTGCGTCAAGGCTATCCTCCGCCTCGACTTACTGTACGGCTGTTTGCGGAAATGTGTGTGGGAGGTACATACATGCACACAAAGCACACGCAAGGGTCATTGAGGCTAACAGTATACTAGTGTGTCGCGGTGCGCGCGCGGTGTGCGGTAGCCGGAACAAGCTCGTATGGGAACAAGCTGATAGCCTTGGTCAAGACTAATGTAATACTAGCCCAGTTTTATTACCATTACAGGCCTACACTAGCTACGTACGGCCACGTAATTGTATGTAGGTAAAAACGCCATTCTCCAGGCAATACACACAACCCCGAAATTGGTTCTTGCACAAATAGCAAAAGAATAACAAAAACTGCCCATTTTTATAGGATTCAATTATGGTTGTGTTTATTTATTTAGGCATACATACATACATACACTGTATATCAGATAAAAGTGACAAAAATACAAAAAAAAACAAGTGAAAACATAATGCAAGTGCAATAAGTTGCAATAGTATTTTCAAACATGTTTAATTTATGAAAAAAAGAAAGGTTTTGGAAAAACATGTATACATGTACATGTACATTCATTTAAATGACTCAACTACGTTATTTTAATAATTTGATGATGAAACTTTTCAAACTGTTTAATGTTTGCCTTTTTCACATGAGTAACACCTACATGTAGATCAGATAAAAGCTGGAAAAATAACATACATACAAACAAGTAAACAAATAACGGCTTTATGTTGCAATAATATTTTCAAATACATTTAATTTTGAAGAAAAAAAGGTTCTGGAAAACATGTATACAGGACATTCATAGTAAGTGACTAAACTACGTTGATATCAATAATTTGATGAAGCTTTGCATAATCCATTACAAATCAGTTATATTTCATGAACCTGACCCACACTAAGCACGGATCCGGGGGGGGGGGGGGGGGGGGGGGTGGTTGTTTGGGGATCAATCCCCCCCCCCCCCCGACTCAAAAAGAACCTAATTTGTATAATTATAGTGACAAAAATTGGAACCCACCCCCCTCGCTCTGATACTAAAAATTAATGTATTAAAGTGTACACTATTAAGTGATACAGTGTGCATGATCGTATGTTTTCAACAGCACCTTTAATTCAAAATATTGCACCAGCCCCCCCCCCCCTTCGATTTTGAATTGATTATTTGTGTTGACAACCAGCTTCCCCCCCCCCCCCCCCCCCCCCCCCCCCCCATTTTTACAGTTTTATGGAGGCCCAATGTTCGGTGAAAAAAACCTGCTATATTTCAGCACGTAAGTTATTCTGACGGATCTGAAGCGCCATACCTACACATGTATTAAGGTGGTCAAGGCGCTGAAACACAATAAATCCAATTTACTCAGAAAAAAACATAATACCAATAAAGAGAGAAAAATAGTACAAATTACAAATGATAAAATTACAAATGATAAATAAACAACAGATATGTAGAAATGCAGCTGGTGCCTAGGTGCATTTCTCCCATATGAAGAACATGAATGTCAGCCTACATCACCAGGCATCTCCAATTGAGATGTACATGTACATGTATACATGAAGATGTGGCGAATGCACACTGATGCCCATGCGGCTCGTGATCGGAATGCACCTAGCTCAGACTGTACTGTTGTTCAAACATGGCATGCATTGGAACCAGCATGCAATGTCTCATACCAGCTGCGTAGCAGTTGCAGCTGTTCTTTTATTAGTATTTCATAGAAGGTATATTTAATATCGCCAGAGGTACAGATTACATTACACCTGTATGTCATTGAACATAAAAGAAAAGCAATTTAGCATTTAGGGGCACTTATTACTTTTCGTTGCATTTTATTTATTTAATATTTTTGTTATTTGTTTTACACTGCACAAGCTACAAGCACCATATGATCCAAAACCTTTTTTTTTTTCTTTTTGGACTTAGACTGACTAACATTTTCTGAAGTTTGGTGAATTTGTGTCAATGAGCAATCTCTAGAAGTGAAAGACTTCTTAAACGATAATTATGACATGGATCAAGTTCTCTTTTTATCAAGAAAAAATAATGGTAGCTCCAGTTAACAATTCAATTCAAATGGGGGAAAAGGTTTTAAAATTTAAATGAAAGAAAGGAAGTATCACTGAAAATACATTGTCTTGCCCCCCCCCCCCCTTTATCGTTTCTATTTCTTACTAAAGTTGCTACGCAGCTGGTATGAGACATTGCCTGCTGGTTCCCATGTCTGCTCAGTAAAACCCTTCCATTTTACTAGGTAGTATATTTTGCCTCTTAGTTTTTTTCTTTCCGTCAAACACTCCACTTCATATTCATCTGAATCTGTGTATTAAAGGGGAAAGAAAAGAGTTGCACATGAAGAGCCGCCATTTTATGTTTGGCTTATGATTAAAGGGAATATACAACATTTGCAAACATCGAAAAACAAAACTACCAAATTCTTACGACATACCTTACATGTGTACTAGGATGTTGGTAAATGACAGTCTTAAGCATCCTGTAAAATTATGGCACCAGGTGTGAAGTCATTTTCCGGAAAAGTGGTATTTTTGTATCATTTCCAACGGTGGTTGGCCGACTACCGTTGGAAAAACCTAACTATTTTTCCACTACTTTTTTTTCAGTCAAAATTATGTTTGCTATTGGTTACATGTTTATGAACGGATGCAGGCCAGCTAGACTGGTTTCCTTACATTACAATTTTCCAGCATCTATAAATTGATCCATTTCATCTTTAGTTGAGTCAGGGAACCAGACTACTTGAACACTTTTGTGTTTCTTGGTTTTTTCCAGCATTTTCGGACGCAAAATTTCAAACATGTAAGTTTAACAATATTTGATCTATTATACTAACCTCTCAAATAGTCAATTTCTGATAATTATAGCAAAAGCCAATGATGTACATTCCCTTTAAAAGAAATGCATACAGTTTTATAAACAACATTTGCTCTGGGTGTAATTTTTCAGAAATGGATAGATTTGGGGTTACTATTTTATTGTTACACTGACTTATTTGAAGTTTTGTGTTTGCAGATGCCAGAAAACCAGTAAAAACCATTGTTTTCTTGTAGTCTGCTTCCTGGACCCCACTGAAATTGAATTGGAGCAATTTATAGACATTATGGAATTGTAACTAGGTCAGGGGACCAGTCCAACTTACATGAACATACACCCGTTCATCAAAATTCAGACTAAACATAAATGGTAAATTGGGGGCAATATTCGAATAAAAAAAAAACTGGGTTGGCTGAACAGCATTGTAAATTGATACAAAAATGCCACTTTTCTTGAAAATGTCAGCACACCAGGTGCCATGATTGTACATGATGCTTTAGACTCATTTTTTAACAGTCCAGCAACTTGTTCCATAATAATTAGGTAATTCTTTTTTTTTTTTGATGTTTGCAATGCTCAATCGGTTCTTAATCAGATGTTTAATATGCACCTATAAAGTTTGTTTCTATATCATCTGCAATCCAAACAACTGTGCAATGTTCTACAGTACCCCGTGTGGTTCATTACAGTAAGCTTTTTACGTTGACAGTAATATTAAAAACCATTACTTTCCAATTCAACTTGTACTGTATAACACAAAGCAATTTCAAACCAACCCAAGATATATTACATAAAAAAGCGGGATTGTAAGCATACCTGTGGCATTTTGCTCAACCATGTGTTGAAGCAATGTCAAGTCACTTGGTGTTTCTACATGCACATCTGTTGGAGACAACAAAATTGTGACAAACTCGAAGTAATAATAAAAATAATAATAATAAATTAAAATTTATATTGCGTGGTCTACATAAAAATGATCGAAGGCGCATTACATAAAATACCACGGAAATTACATTAAAAAAAACAAGAAATAAAATGAGGTACAACTTATGTTAAAAGAGGGGTAAACTACTGGAAATACAATCAAGTAATTGATAGGGCAAATTTTCACAACTCAATTAAATCACAAGTCAATCTATTGGAATCTGTCTTATGTTGCTTATTATGTATTGTAAATTTCTAATGACACTTCTCTGACATCATTTTATCTATGATACAACACCTCAAATGTCATATCTGAACACAAATTAGAAAATGAACATGTACATCAGGGTTTGCTTTGTGAGTTTCACTATACAGGGTGGATAAAAAACGAAACAGAGATATTTTTTGCTAATTGGAAGAGAAGTAGGGCACATGTGAATCAAAGGAGATATCCTCTGTTAGGTTAATCTCCTCTTTAAAAGGACACCTGCTCATGTTATAACATTCACGGTTGACTGAGCAGTGACCAATTTTGTGAAAGGGTCTATTGGAGAATTGCGCCACTTTTCGATTGTGGTTTATGTGGTGTCATTTGTCAGGCTATGGTTGCAAATCAAGACAGGTGGGAAACAAAAACAGATTTCACCATGAAAAGTGGCGGAACTCTCTAAATAGCCCTTTCATAAATTGGTGATAATGTCAAAAACATAGGCCTACTTACTGCTGTTTGTTGGTTGAGCATTAAGCTGGTCAGATGGGCCATCATCCAATGTGGAGGGAGGCTGGGCAGACACTAGTATTAAAAAATAGCAAAGATGTAAAGATTGATTATTCAGTGTAACACTTTTACACAAGACAAATTCGTACCACAAGTCCATTTTGTGGTCAAGCACGTGCTGATTGGCAGGGCTCATCATTCACGATTCTATATGAGCCTGTAGTCAGCAAGAATTGGATGTGTTTTGCTTCAACCTAAACGGATCTGTTTTATTATTTACATGAGTGTAATTGTCAATAATCCAACATTAAAGAGCAATTCAAATGTCCTTGCATGTACTCTCAAATTCAGGACTAAGAACAAAGCAAATGAAGGCTTGAATGTTAAACTCAATTCAAATGCAGCAACTCAAGTCGACAACATTGAACAAAATCATCCGTTCAACGCATTTCACTTACTCTCAGTTTGGCCACTTCTGCAACATTTGGTTTAGATCAAAAGTTGACCATTTCTCCAAAAATGAACTTTCAAAGTACTTGGAGTTTACTAAAAAGACAAAAACCACACACAGTATCCACAATCCTTTTGCTGATATGCACTGAGCTGGAGTAATGTTTTACACATCACAAAAACAAAGGCCTACTTACTGCTGTTTGTTGGTTGAGCATTAAGCTGGCCAGATGGGCCATCATCCAATGTGGAGGGAGGCTGGGCAGACACTAGTATTAAAAAGAACAAAGATGTAAAGATTTGATTATTCAGTGTAACACTTTTACACAAGACAAATTCGTACCACAAGTCCATTTTGTGGTCAAGCACGTGCTGATTGGCAGGGCTCATTCATTCACGATTCTATATGAGCCTGTAGTCAGCAAGAATTGGATGTGTTTTGCTTCAACTTAACGGATCTGTTTTATTATTTACATGAGTGTTATTGTCAATAATCCAACATTAAAGAGCAATTCAAATGTCCTTGCATGTACTCTCAAATTCAGGACTAAGAACAAAGCAAATGAAGGCTTGACTGTAAACTCAATTCAAATGCAGCAACTCAAGTCGACAACATTGAACAAAATCCTCTGTTCAACGCATTTCACTTACTCTCAGTTTGGCCACTTCTGCAACATTTGGTTTAGATCAAAAGTTGACCATTGCTCCAAAAATGGACTTTCAAAGTACTTGGAGTTTAATGAAAAAATAATCACATAGTATCCACAATCCTTTTGCTGATATGCACTGTATGAGCTCAAAGAAATATTCCACGTCACAAAAACATAGGCCTACTTACTGCTGTTTGTTGGTTGAGCATTAAGCTGGCCAGATGGGCCATCATCCAATGTGGAGGGAGGCTGGGCAGACACTAGTATTAAAAAGAACAAAGATGTAAAGCTTTGATTATTCAGTGATTGTTTTCATTTGAAGCACATTTCGGGTTGAAGCACATTACAATGTAAATGTGCATAAATGCAGTGGGGCACACAGGATTTGGCAGGAGGGGGGGGCCTCACTTTTCGAAAATAGGCCACTTAGTTCATGTATCACCAGAATCAAATCTTGGGACTAATAATTAAAACTGACAACCTCGAGGGGGGGGGGGGGTTTCACTGCTTAAATGTATTGCAATTGCATTGCACATTCACCTATGTTACATGCACTAAAACAAGACAAGTTCTATCTGGTTCATTCGTGTGATGTCACCTCAGTATAAATCATGCCCACTTCACGTTGTTAAGTAGCATTGGAACTGGAAGTTAACGCAACTTGAGTGTTCATGTAATAGTAGCAATCGGAAGTGTGCGCACATGTATGACGTTTTTACTGAAGAACTGGTTATTTAGCTTTCGGTCAGCAAGTATGGGATATTTTGGAAATGAGCTTCACAAACAAGCATGATGAAAGTGCATCTAAAGATAGAGATGTGTTTTCACCTGTGAATTTGATAGATGGTTCTGCCTCAATGATTTTTTTGAGGGCCTCTCTCCCATAGGCCCCAGGCCTCTTCAAGGGCATCGGCAGCCCTGTGCATTCTATCTGCCCAGCCTCCAGCAGTTTGTAGCTCATCTGGCTCTTTTTGCCCAATGTTGCATCCCCTGTAGTATTAAAGAAAACTTTTTTGTCAATATAATATAAGCCCAAAAAAAAAGTCGCCGTAGCCATGCGCTTCGGCAAAATAAAAAAGTTTTTTTGTCTATGAAAGATGATGTCTCAAAACCGCCAAACTCACTGGTTTAACTGGAATCCTGCTGCTGCACAATTTTAACATGTTTTTAGATGGGGTTATGATGGAGAATAATTGTTAACATGTGGCCTCTCTGGACTCCCATATTTTTGCACTAAGTTAAGTCTGGCACCATTTGCAGTCATCAGCCGACATTTAAAGCAAAAAAACAGGTAAAAAAAAAAAAAAAACGCGTTGCCGTGCGTCTTTTTGGCAAGTTCCATACCAGAAACTGGAGATTTTTTGGGGGGCTTAATCGAAATATACTCTTTTACCACCAAATGTGGCACATATAGTACCCGTGTGTGGTCTATATTTAAAATGTCGTGTAATACGACAAAAATTGCAGTTAGCCAGTCCACTCCCCACTTGTTTTCCACATTCCAACTTACTGTATTTCTGATTGAAGAGCTGCTGCACTTTAACCCTGAGCTGTGATATGTCTTCAGTAACGGTGCTGGACTTGTTAACTAGGTGTTAGAACAAATTGAAAGGAGACCATCAACATGATGAAAATATATACATGTAACTCCCTTTTTGTGTTGCAATGTTATATCTCCTCTAATGTCAGTTAAAAAGTAAGGTTTCATGAACCATTTTTGGGGATATATCATCCTTTTTTATATCATTTGTAAAACAAAATCACGAATGTTCATAAAAGTAACGAAGGAATACGTACATGTACATTGCTATTTGTTTAGCAATCCCATTTGCATTTAACTTGTGTGTAATGTCTAAATCTCACTCAGCTTAATAGCTTCCAATGGCATCAATGGACAGGTATCAAATCTTGTATTAAAACATGCATAACTTCTGATGGCATAGATTAATTCCAGTATTTTTTCCCCAGATGAGTGGGACAGCATTCATTGGTGTATCAAGTTGTATTCATTTTGAGATCAAAAACATTTTTTTGCAATGATTTTTTCCCCAGCATTATACATGACTTAATCAATTTCAAGGTGTCAACATTTTGAAAGGATCTTTATTAATAATATAGACATGATGTTTCCTTAGTTATAGTTTGATTGATGTTTGGTTGAAGACCCCTGTTAGATGTACGTTTACTCAAACTTTACAATACACACCTCCACTAAATCCACTGGAAGCACAAAATTTGGACGCAAAATTTGTGGAAGTGGCAAGATCGACACCAACATCACTGCCATGCACTGTAGAGATCCCTAAAGATGCACTAGTGCACACCAGTACCCAGTCCAAGCCATCAACTCTTGCACACTGCGAATAAATGTCCCAACAAAATAAGCAACAAATTTGAAGACAAAATGAGTGCTCTGTTAAAACACAAGTGAGCAATCTAGTACACAGAAGTAACCTTTGAAAGACACAATAATATGAAATTGTGAAATAAAAAGAGTGTCGTGGATCCCCTCTGATAAGACTACACAATATATTGAACTTATAATTCTTAAGTTTTGGTGGTTTTTTTGTTTTTTGTTTTTGGTTTTTTTTTTGGTCAGTGCTTGGATTAAACAAAATTTCAATCTTTCTAAGATATGTATGTCAAGATTTTTCCCTGAGGGAGTTTGTTACTGATCGAATGACAACCACCTGTAGGAAGGGATAAGTTTCAGTTGACTGACTAGTTGACTTTTAGGTTATATTGATACTTGCTGACATAAATGCACACATATAAGGTCCCCAAAAAAGTACTTCTGCTTCTCGGTTTGCCTACCTACCGTATTCTGACAGCCCATCTTTTTATGGACAAAAATGAAACAAAACAACAACTAAAACCATCAATAACTACCTTTTACCCTGGCCTATATACAGGCAGACGCCGCCATATAATCGTCCAAAAAAAAAGGGAAAAAAATCTCTACCCACCTACCCTCTTTTCGAATGCATGTAAACCGAAGCAGAACTATTATGTTTTGGCCTTGTACATGTAATGAATTTATTATCTACTGTAAAATTTGTTTATATCCAGAATCGAAACAATATTTCTTGAATTGTTTTCTTATTGTTGTCTGCCATGGATTAACCAGAAATTACAGCGGGAAAGATGATAAGCAATGAAATCCTAGTACAAAATATCATGTATTTTAAAAGGCAAAAATGAGTCGGTGCTATCAATAGTATCATCTATCTTATTTTGTGTACTGCATTACTGCATGATTCCTTTCAAGTTGTATTCTTTCATCACTTAGTTACAGTAAAATTTAAAATGTGAATTGCATTACATAAACACCATTTTTAATCTCACCATGTTAGAAACTTCATGGCCAAGATTGTTGGCAAAGCTTCGAAACCCTGATTCTCCAAGGGTTGTGGTTTGCTGGGGTAACTGATTCTGATTGTCAGCCTCTTTGTTGTAGAGCATTCGATTTTCCTCATCCAACCCCCGCCACTCCTGCACACCTTGCTGCATCATCTGTGCCCTGTTAAGAGCCGTGGCACCTTTATAAGCAAATAGAATGGTGGTTATAAAATAATTATTATGCATTAGGCAAAATAAAAAAAGAAAACATGTTTAGCGCCCTGCCTCTTTGACAAAAAGGAAGGAGGAGGCCCTTTTTTTTTTTTTTTTCCAAAATGGCCGCCCGACACATTTTTCAAGACAACGCGGCCGGGCTATTTTTCAAGATGGTTACCAGCTTTTTTCAAAATGGCCGCCACTTGGACTCATTGACTATTTCCACAGCTTTATACACGGTATAAAAGTCTAAAAATACGATTTCTTTCGTCAGAGATCGTTAAAATTTATCAATTTTTGTCTTTAAAAAAAAAAAAAAAGGAGGCGGCCTCTAAAAAGGAAGCGGGCGGGGACGCTAAACATGTTTTTTTTTTTACTTCGCCTTATGTTATTTTAAGCTGCCAAAAAGCCCCCAACCAACAGACCCATCACATACAGAAATATAGTTGAGGAACCGTTTTTATGTGCATTTGCAGGTTCATGTTTATATTGAATACTGTGGGTTTTTTTCATGGGCAGTTGTACCACAGGACAACAAAATATAAGAAGAAAGAGACATGAGTTCTGCAAGGTCAGTGGCTAAAACAAAATTTATAATCACAGGCCTGGTTTAGGATTGCAGTGCCTGACATTCCTGGGCAAACCACACGAGGATAATGAATAACATGAGGCTGATAGAAAAGGGACACAGTGTAGAGAAAAACCCATGAATGACTGTGCCAGTGGATATGGATCAGGTAATTGTTTTAGCAGGGGATTGGAATGTGGATAACACACTGAGAGCCCAAAGTATCTATTATTTTCCACAAGAGGTACGTCCTAGGATGATCCAACAATGAAACCAACCAAAACAAAAACCAACTACATTACTGATACTTGGACAATTAAGCTCAAGAAATAAAACAAATTTAAATGGATTAAAAACTAATTCCATGGAGTATTCTATTATGAAATAGTTCTTAAAAAATATTCAGGACAGACTTTTAGAAAAGATGGAAAACAATAAAAGGGTGCCAAAAACGTAATTTAAAATGTTTTACCGGTTACACACATGTATGCAGTGTGTGTTCTTGTAAAATGCTGATTGATTTATATATCCCCATTTTGTTATTTAATAACTAGAAGAAAAAAAGACTGATTAAAGTACATGATTTTTACATACCAGAAAGTATTTGAAAAGTGACCTGTTGGCAATTTACTAATTAATATCAACAATGTGGATATAGTGGCCATTGTGACATTACATGTTGCATTTTAAGAGTGGCCAATAATGAACCCTGCTACTGAATAAACAGGAAATATATAGGCCTAGATGTTTCTTCAGTGGGAACAAGGTCACAAGGATAAACAACCATACCAACTTAACTCCTGGTTCTGGGGGACTAAAAAAAAAATCATGTTTCACTTTAATATGCTGTTTCTTTCTACATGTATCACAAAGAGAACAATTAAGTAGACAAATCTTACCTTTTGAGCCTATAAACTTCTTCATGAAGATGTTGTAGCCACTGCATCTTCTTTTGCGCAGGGGTAAGACCCTCTGCTTGCCATTCTTTCGATGGTTTGTCCTGCGTTTATTGTCTATCCAACGCTATATAAACAGAAAGTTAATTGTTTCAAAAACACTTAATAGGCCTAACTGTTAACATGTCATGCATGTGGCACTTCTTCTTGCTCTGTGCTGTAAAAATATTTGGCAACACAGACCTTCTGTTTAATTTGGAAACTTGATGACTTAATAAATGAAACACTGGCATAAATTAATCTACACCGCAATTGGTTGAGAAGGATGAAAATATTGATACCTTCACTTGCTTCGCAGTCAAACCAGTTCTTTCGATGGCCAATGCAACCTTTCTTTTAGCCTCGGCTGTCCCATAGTTTGTCATGCCCTCATCCCAGAGCCTGTCAAGTTTTTCCTGATGCTCCATGGGCCTACTTTTAAACTTCTGAAAAACACAGAAAAAAACATTGATAAGTTTGTTAGCATATATATTAATATTAAAATTGCATTTTTTTTTCTAACTTCCTTATATGTTGTTCAATCACAAAATAGAGGGCATTAAAACAAAAATCCGTTCATAACTACACAGTCCATAGAGCAAGGAATATACATCAAGCAGTAGCTCCAATGTCTAAGCTTCACAACTGGTGCACCTCCACACCTCTCCGTCACCTTGAACAGCTGAGATCGGCATAAATACATGTTCGACGTTTGCCGATTTGCTTAGTATACAGAGTGTTCTTGAATTAAAGTTCCCTTAAATGTCACCATGGCTGGATACATACCTCCGTGTCGTCTTGAAGGCTGCTCCTTTTTTTTCTCGTAAAACTTTATGCGAATTGCTTCGCCAAGACTGCAACAAGTCAAGTACACGGTCTTGATTAGAGGTGTACTTCGATGTTCAGAATACGATATGCCAGCACCGGCCGCGCGTGATGAGCTGAGCTGTACTGTATGTTGGTACCGCGCCGCCGGCCAGGTGGCCGTTGCCCGTGGCCCGGCTGCGGCGCGGCGCTGCGCAGCATGGTTCTGGTGATGAAAAAAAAGTTTCCTGTCACGTGACCAAGGTGGCCAGATTTGCATTTCAAAATTATGCTAACTTTAGCAAAAACCTGCTACCACGATTCTGTTTGATCATACGTTTCTTAAAAAATATTTTGTTTTCCTTATTTTTTTTCGGGGGGGGGGGGGGTGTGTTAAATTGACACATATGTGATTGTGCACGTCATTAGAGTACATTACACTATACCTGCTGTTCGTTCGTGGATCCAGAAATTTTGCAGGTAGGCATGCCGAAATGTAGAACTTTTTTTTTTTCTCCGGACACTCAGAAAATCACTCGGTGGGCAGGGGAGTGGGTGTGGCTCGTTTCATATTTTCGATGGGGAGCGGACAATCCTTCTCCCGACTATTTTTTTAGGAGGCAGGCCGTTCGCTTGTGACATCACCTTTTAACATTTTCTACTGCCATTTTTTATGGATTTTTTTTGGGGGGGGGGGAGACAAAAGATGCTTCTGTTTTTGCCCCCCCCCCCCCCCCCTCGTAGAACCGCACTTGAATTTACTACAGGGAAATTTAATGCAAAGAAAATGCATTTTCTAACTCAAACTCTGCTTAACTCAAAATTTGAGCCCACTCGCCAGAGGTGTGACTGATAAAAAACAAAATCTACTTAAAGCGGTCACACTGATTGACAGCACGGTATGAGGGCACTAAATTTGCCGGTTTTAAACAATAACAATTTCATACTGCATGGTGGTACTCTCACTGGTACTCCGGCTTAAAATGAGTACGGATCCAGCTTAATACATTAAATGCCAATTTCCAATAATTCTATCCAACTGAATCGGTCGCCACAGGCTATTCATGCTTCTTTCAGGTATGCTGTGTCATTTCGAAGAAAACAATAAAACATTGTTTCCAAAAATGCCGGGTTTTTTTCTTTAAGTGAAGTAATTCGGCAAATCCGAGAATGGGTACCGTTGGTACGGTTTGTGACATCAAGTAGTTTCAATGGCTGAATGAAACGTGTCCTGGATGCTGATTAACATGAAATAGTAATTCAATACAGCTTTCTCTGAATATACAAAATTTAAACAACATTTATACCTAATACAAATTTCAGTTGTTAAGTTCCTGTAGTCTGTATTTTTGCTTATATGAAGTCGAACAAAAAGACACAAAGTGACCAGTGACGCAGTCGTGATTCTCATACCAGGAAGGGGGGGGGGGGCGAGTAGGGTCATGAGGGCGGGGTGCCCAAGTTTCATCTGTTCTGAGAGGTGGACATGTTTTTTTTCCAACGTAGACACATCCGGGGATGTAGAGGTGTGGGGGGGGGGGGAGTGTGTGCTATACAACAATTTTCCATTGACACTGTTCACCGTCGCAATTCCTGCTGGTCATTGTCAGACAATAGTATATGGGGCCTACGCGTATTGGACGTGAAAATGAACAGCCAATAAGTTATAAGAAAGGGTTTCACCAATAACACATTTAACATGTGAGAAAAGGCACTTTAAAAGTTAAACTCGCTTACAATGAGATCATGATTTTATCCGACTGCAAAATTTACATATTATAGTTTACATACTGTGGGCGGTAAATGTTTATGAAAGCTTTAGGGGCGGCGTGCGATTACAGTTTCCTATCCAATTGAACACAATGCCTGTTTTGCATAAAGTGCCATTTTTGGCTAAAACTTAAGCATTAACAATAGACATTACCCCGTGACGTGATTTTACACGGTTTACGAGTAAGAAAATGAAGTATAGATAAGATAATAAAGACGGACGTACGCGTCCCCGGCGCGGTGCAAATTATGAATTTGGCATCGTATTCGAAAAACATTTGTTTATAAGTCATTAGTTAATTATTGCGAGCTAAGTACCAATATTACAACAACTCAATATCAACGTTTGACATGGCGATTCATCTTTTTATCCTTGGCAAACATCTCCGATCCACCTTACCTATAATTTGGAACTGAGGCCACAGATAAGAGAAACTAGACTCGGAAGACACAATAGGAACATGATTCGTTTCCGTCAGAGGGGAATTTTCTTCCAAAAATGAAGTAATTAAATCAAACTTGTTTGTAACGCTTATGTTTTCTCTGGTATTTTCTCCGTTAAATAAACTCAATTATACTGAAAAAAAAGTAGAGGATATATTTAATTGATATTTTTATCGCATTAAAATAATTGTGCGTGAATTATTTTCTAACAACACAGTGCGAGAGGGCGCCCTGTAACAGCAAACTTGTGCAAGTCTTTTTACTGTTTCTGTCAAATTTACACTTCGTTGTCATCCAAAATCATTACTTAATGAACTAACTAGCCTTAATTCTGTTATCTAAACGGTTTGAAAGGCATGCTACATCGAAGAGATTAATGTTTCCCGTATCAGTTCTCCAGGTGTCAGGATAAAAGCTTTCACTGTCGATAACGAATCAGACTAGACTGTTGCGAGTTTATCGTAGTGTCTGTGCGTTTCTCGTTACTGATGCTTAGGCCTATAAGTCACCAGGCATCCTTTTAGTCGGTGTTTATTCTATTTATTTATTTATTCATATATTTATTAATTTGTTTATTCATTATTTTCTTACATAGTAAATGTATGGCAGTCATTACTATGCATACAGCCGGCCATACAGGCGTGAGTGCTCTGTCAAACCCCGGCGCGCGACGAAATAACAGAACAGAAGCCTTCGGCAGTAAACAGTCCTTTCGTAAAGTGATTCTTGAACGGAAACAGGAGGATATTAAAATTAATATTTGGTAACATGTATATTGATTTTTATAGTTGTGACAAGTTCGTGACAATTTTAGATTTTACATGCTCTGTGGTGCACTCTCAGTCGAGTATCCATCTAACCATTTTCTTTTTTTGGGGGGGGCAAAGATTATCCTAAACAAAATATCATCGACTCGGAGTTTGGAGTCATTGAATCGGCTATCCTGAGCAATAACATCAAACTGTTATATGTTTGGGACGAAACACGTGAGGGCTGAAGGAAGGGGGGGGGGGGGTGTCGCCCTGGTCGATAGGTTTGGGTGCATTTTCTTCTCGTCGCGCGTGCCCACCCCGTCTCGCTCGTCGATCCCCCTCCCGGTCGCGCGAGGGTTGTCTCTCATTTTCTTCTGTCCTGGCGCTTTTTAATTTTTAGTCTTATGTGCAACTAATCATAGCAGGCTACGGTCTAACGTGAACTTCCCTATTAATTTTGTCCATCCCTCCCTTTCCTCTCTAGTTGAAGTCTCTCTTTCTCTCTATTAGGCCAAAAAAAAAATAAGTCGGTCTCTGGTCAGCGCGCGCGTCGATTTTAAGCATGCGCGTCGATCTTTTTTTCCCAAAATGTTCCGCGGTAGCTCCAACAGCGCCCTCTATTTCCGCACCTCCTCAATTATTTTTACCAAAGAGCACCAAGGAATGGGAAATTGCACCAAGGCAAATGATCGAAAGCACCAAGGCAAATTATGGAGGACACCAATGTACATGAGGACACCAAAAAAGCAAAATAGTACCCACCTTGTCTGTACAATCGAAGCTTGAAGAAAGAAAAAAAAAGCAAAATAAAAAAAAAAAGCCGCGTGGCCGCGTCAATTCCGGAACTTTGGTCTGACCAGAGACCGAATATTTTTTTTGGCCTTAGTTGCATTTTTTTTGTATGGAAGGGGGGGGGGGGGGGTTGACCCCCACGCCCCAGATCCGCCCCTGCTAAGCGCTTATCATAGGGCCTAATGGCCAAACTTTCTATACTTTGGCAAATAACGAACCATGAACGAACCAAGGCTCAGCCTGAAAGCGGGGAATGTTCAAATCATAATTAATTTATGTAGTCGATCGAGCTTCAATTCTAAATTTTCAACTGTAATTAAGTCAATAATTGTATCGTCTTTGTTGACAGAGTCGACTGGGGCACCATCGATTATCAGGGACGGGTACCTGTTCGTGCGCAAGATATACTTCAATTAATAAATGAGTTAACGGACCACATGATCAAGCTAGGCAAAATAAATGCCCAGTTGAATATCTCAAATCCAAATTTGTTGATGTTCGGTTGGTTTTGTTCGCAACATTTTCCGTCCCCTCGTTTTGTCAGTTTGTTTGCAGACAATAACAGTTTTGCACGAGTAGATACACTGATTTACGGGGAATCCTATAGTTACTGTTACGGACGCGATGACCTAATGAACTTTAAAAAACTAAGGCCATGTTCACCAGTATCACTTCATGCAGAGTAGTTTTATTCCATGTTATCTTCCACTATGCACGCACAAGAAGTAACTACAAGTAACCAATATACGGACATTAATGCTGGCCAAGTTGGCCAAACCCTGCGTTTGCTCAGAGTGTCCCAGGTTTTTGTTATAATTCTATAAAAGGATGACCTTATTTGTCTATTTAATATGCACTTTTTCATTTGATTTCACAAATAAAAAAAATGATAACAACTTCTACGTAATATTAAGTATTTGTCCTTAAATCTTTACATCACTAACCACCTGATTACGAGATTCACATTCACAGAACTATCTCAGAAATTCCGACATTTGTTTTCATATGAAGACCAAGCTTGATACCGAAGCAATGACAACTTATCAATCCAAATTCCTTATTGTTTGATACTTGTAAGCTGTTAACATTAAAGGCAGTACAATTATAAGAAATGAAGGCCAGGCATTGTTCACTTGAATTATGACATAAATAAGAGGTTAAGACACTTTAAGAATTTTAAGTCAATTATTATTTACATTTCGTATATAAAATAGCCGCACGGGTATATGCCTAACTTGCTAAAGAAATACTCCGTAAACGTTTAACATTATCATATTCACGTTGAGTAAATGAATATGTGAACATTGACCCAAATGTCTGTTAAAATGTTGTACATACAAGGTGAAAATGTACATGTACCCAATACATCAGCAACACACGTGTTCATGAACAGATTTCTCAAGAACAATTGTTTCTGTTTCATTATTAAATTTAATTGTAACACCTAGTCAGGATATAATGAATCACATATAGATAAGCAGAGGGATGAATTTGACATCTGAGAATAAATAGTTTTAATTGTTATAGTGAATTAACTTAAACAACGGAACATTTGGACATGCTTTATTTATCAAA